TTAAGTTGCTCACCATTGTGGGCTGGTGGGCTAAACAGGGCTGCCAGGATCTTCTAGGAAGCTATACAGAGGGCACCTGAGATGGAGAGCATTTACCCACTGGCAAAGTTACTCCATGGGGCATTCGTGCCCTCATGTGCCCAGGTTATATATGTGTGAATGCAAGACACGTGAGTACAAGATAGATTCCAGCAGGTATTTTTGTAACGTACAAGCACTCCATTGCAGGTTTCCCACTACAGAATTAGCACACCCCATCCCAGAGTGGTGTATTTTTTTTTTTTTTTTACCAAGGCTGAACCTACATTGACACATCATAATCACCCAAAGTCCATTGTTTACCTCAGGGTTCACTCTTGGTATTGTACATTCCATGGATTTGTAAAAACATGTAACAACATATTATTTTGATGTACACTATATTTTCATTGTCCTCAGAATGATGGTTTTGATATTCTGCCTATATGTGGAAGAAATGCTGAAGTAATGTGTTTGTGAATTACTTTGGAAAACATTCGAATCAGGTCTGAGCTATATCCCAAAATTTTAGGTACAATGAAGATGGATTTATTTAACAAAGAAATTAATGATTTGCTGACCTAGGCAAATGCTGTATTTTGGCTTAATCAGGCATTATGGAATTGGATTATTCCTATGTGAAAAGACCTTATTTAAGGCTAGTGTCTATTTGAAAGGTTAAGTTTTATCCATTGTAGTGCCTTTGGCTCCTTTATCCTTTTGAAAGCCTACCAACTTAAGCATACCCACTGAACCAAAGTTGTACTTATTTCTTCTTTGAAGGAGTAGAGGAATTAGACTCATGGGTGTCTGGTGGGAGAGCATCCCAGGCAGAAGGCACCGCCAGGGAAAGGCTCTGTGGCGGAGGCTGCGTGATATGTTGGAACCGCAGCAGGGGCCTGTGTGGCTGGCGTAAGGCTGGCTGGTGTGGAGCTGAGTGAGAGCAAGGGAGAGAAGTAGGTGATGAAGTGAGAGTGATCACTGGGACGGCCTACTGGATTATGTATGGCTTTATATGCAGTTGAAGGGATTTTTGCCTTTTGATGAGAGGAGGGACATGATGTGATTTTTATTTTTAAAGAATTATTGTCTGCTGTGTTGAGAACAGACTGTAATAAGTCCCAAGGATCATTGAATGTATTTCAGAGGCTTGCGGTTGTCAATCCCTGTGATTATTTTAAGTAGTATATTTTTTTTTGAATTTTTGTAAGATTTTATTCGAACCAAACTGAACTCATAAAAGACATTTTAAAAAAAGAAAATTACAAACCAAGATTCCCCATGAACACAGATGAAAAAATTCTTAACAAACTATTAATAAGTGACAATATGTAAAAGAATGAAACATCTTGCTAAATTGGGCTTATCCTACACATTGGAGGCAAGAAGGACCCTGCCCTGGAGCCCACCCAGGGAGCACAGCCCCAGACGCCCTGTTTTCAGATTCTCGCCCCAGAATGGGGAGAGCGCACGTTCCTGTTGGTACCAGCCTGTAGTCATCCGAGCAGTAGCCCCAGGAAATAGGCCCCTCCTTTGGGGGCTTTGACCGGGTTCTGGGAGCAGCTGAGCCCTGTGCCCCGATAGGGGAGACGCCCCATCCCCAGCCCCCTAGACCTCTCACTGCAGGGCTCACAGGGAGAGTCATCCCTGTGTCTGAGCCTCGGCCCTGTCTCCTGCCCCTGGGGGCTCCTCCGCAGTGGCAGTGCGGTGGGCACACCACGGGGGGCTGCTTGGTGGGAAGCACAGCCACGTGGCTCCGGGACTCCCCACCGCCTGGCCCAGGCCCCGCTGCAGGATGAGGCAGGGCTCTCCCAGCCCCGCCCTTACTTCCCTCCCGGACCTTCCCCTATTAAATAGTTTCTTTAAATATGGAAGTGTTTTTTGCCTTTTCATAATTGTGCTTTATCAATTAGAGCTGGCAGTAGGAAAGATGCCAATCTGTAGATGTAAAAGTTTTTTCCTACATAGGTTCTTTCTGACTATTATGCTTTAAAAATAAAGGTGGTAGGGTAGGAATCTTGACAATTGGGTGTTACCCAAAAGTGCCTAGTAACTGAAGTTCTAGAATAGGGTTGTCTACGGTACTGAAAATCACTTATTGTAGACATTTGCCTTCTTGCCGGTACAGTACATTTTAGTATGAGTCACTTTAAAAAATGGTGGTTTATACTGTTTATAGTTTGATTAAATTTAAAGGAGACCATTTTCACAAGAAAAGTGAAAAACACAATTTGTATCAGCCCATGAAATAATCTTTTCTGCCGTTAGTCTAATAAATTCCTACTCATTTACCTCCTTTTTAAAGATGGGAGAACTAGGTATAGAGCTGTCCAGCTGTTCTCAAGTCAGACCTTTAATTTATTTGAGATGTTATGAGCACTGGCATGAGCACAGCCTTTAAAAAGATGTAATTACATTTGCTTTCCAGAGACAAATGCTATAGAAGCTGGGCTACCTAGTAATGCTCCTTTTGGAATTGACTTGTTTCAAATGTGTTCATCTACCATTTCCTCCCACTCCCTGGCTCACTACTTTTAAAAGTTGGCATGATGCTTGCTTTTGGCTACTGTTGAAAGATTCATTTTGGAAACCTTTCTATATGTAATGAGTTGGAGCTGGACAATTGGTTGTCATGAATTAATCTTTGAGCTTCATGGAAACAGCATACAGTGATTTTGTTAATTCTTGCAAGACACTTCTGCCAGGAATAATGCTTTTCAGTTGATTTAGTTGCAGCCTAGCAGCAGTGCTTGGTAGTTGTTACTGTATAGACTGGTCTTATATACTTACGTAGTGTATACGGTCTTACCCTTCATCTGGAAATTTTCGTGATAAAATGGGTGTGGTCTCTGATGGGGAGGAGGCTTGAAGGAAATTACATGCTGGTGGAATATTCTAACTAAAAATATGATCTCTCTCTCTTAAGCTGTGCAGTCAGGGGTTTCCTGGCTGTACAGGATTCCTTGTCTCTGGTAATCATTAAAACACAATAGTTATGCTTGAAATTACTGTGGTTGCATTGGTAATTCTACTGCTTAACACTTTTGTGAACTAGCAGACATGTTAGAGGGTTAAGACTTTTAGGTTTTATTTCAAGACAAATTAAGGCAGATTCTAGGTAGAATCATCCAAAACATTGTTTAACTTTTCTCCTTAAAATTGTTTTTAAATGGTGAGAGAATAATCCTCTTTCTACTTGATGTCATAAAATAGAATTATTTGCAAAGCAGTCTTATAAGACAGAAATAAAATCTCTCTTCCTCAACCTGAGCCTTGCAATTTGTCATAATAGGTGTTATGGATATTGCAGCCATCTGCCCAGGTTTTCGGGGAGAAGTTCTGATTACAAAATATTAACCAGTTATTCACAGTATTATCATATTTGTCAGATTATGTGTCAATTTTGGGTTTAAAAAAAATACAGTGACTGATTAGGATAGAATATTCATTGCTGCTTTGCCAGCTTTCTTTTTCATTAAAGATTAACTTTGATAATAAATATTGAGAATTGATAAGAAAATTATCAGGAGATACTATTTCCCTGGTTATTGTGACATTTATAAAATATTTTAAAAAGATCATTCTCTCGACTTAAATTTTTTGTCAGCTGGAAGAATTCAGAGGCAGTATGTGCTGTGATTAAGATCACAGTCTCTGCGGTCAAATAGTTTTGAATGCAACCCCTGACATTTCCACTCTTTTAACCTTGGGCAAGTTGTATTTTCTTGTTCTGTCTCTGTTTCCTCACCTATGAAATGGGAATACTAATGGGACTTACTTCTCAGAGTAGTAGAAAGTGCATGAGACATGGGTGTAATAAATAGTGCCTGGTGCAGAGTAAGCACTGCCTGCCTTTAGCTATGCTATGCTGGGGTTGGAACATCTCTTAAATAAGAACTATCTTTATGAAAAAATTTCAAAAAGCCCAATTTTTGTGGTTTGTTTGTTTTGTTAATCCTCACTCAGGATATTTTTACATTGATTTTTAGAGAGAGGGAAAGACAGAGAGAAACATTGATATGAGAGAAACACATTGATTGGTTGCCTCCTGTACTAACCCCACCAGGGCCCGGGCCAGGAAGGAGCCTGCAACCCAGGTACGTGCCCTTGACCGGAATCAAACCCAAAACCCTTTGGTCCACAGGCTGATGCTCTGTCCACCGAGCCAAACCAGCTAGGGCACAAAAAGCCTAAGTTATACTTCATATTACATTTAGAGTGCAACCTTTCCTCAAAGGCAATATAAATGTGCAACTTTTAAAAATATGAAATGCTGCCGATACCGGTTTGGCTCAGTGGATAGAGCGTCAGCCTGCGGACTGAGGGGTCCCGGGTTCGATTCCGGTTAGGGGCATGTACCTTAATTGCGGGCGCACCCCCAGTGGGGAGTGTGCAGGAGGCAGCTGGTCGATGTTTCTCTCTCATCGATGTTTCTAACTCTCTATCTCTCTCCTTTCCTCTCTGTAAAAACTCAATAAAATATATTTTAAAAAAATATGAAATGCTAAAAATCTTACTTAGCTCACATACATCTAGGCTAATTCCTTTTGATCTTAGTGCAATTGGGAACTGACCATAGCAGCCCAATAGGGAAATTAGGAAACAAAAAATTCCCATTCCTCTTTGAGGAAAGAAATTAATAAATATAGTGGGGTGTGTTTATGTGTGTGTGTGTAAAGAGAGGTCATACACATATTTATTCATATAATGCATTATAGTAGACTTAAATTTACTGGCCTGGTTTCTTTCTTTCCCTCCAAGTTTATTTTTTAAAAAGAAAGAAATGAAATGCAATCAGCATTCTTTAAAGCTGAACTAATCTACATTATTATTCAGCCTCAGGAATGGGTTATGTTCATACACAGTAGATAAAACCTATTTTTTAAAAATTCAGCCTCTTTAGTATTGATGTGGTTTTTACGTTCCCCTTGCCTTGTAATACAATAATGAGTAGGTAAGGCATTGCATCTAAAATATCTGTGGCAGACCTGTTGGACTTGAATGTAATCATTCCCTAATCTTACTGTGTAATAATAAGATTAATTACCAGCACCACACCTGTGAGGAGTCGTTCTGGAATGCCTCATTTTGCTTACAGATAAAATGTGTTCCTCCTTTCTTCAAAGTAAATGCAGGAATACCATGAGTGAACAATATTCTTATACCAGTCATTTCTGAAAAATGTTGTTATAATTTGAAAATTTAAAGATACTCCTATTTTTTTAGAACCTACAACTTGGAGTGAGGTGAAAATGCAATGATGGATTTATTTTTTTTATTTTTAATTTTTTTGTATTTTTATTGATTTCAGAGAGGAAGGGAGAGGGAGAGATAGAAACATCAATGATGAGAGAAAACCACTGCACACCCCCCCAAAGGGGATCGAGTCTACAACCTAAGCATGTGCCCTTGACCGGAATTGAACCTGGGGCCCTTCAGTCTGCAGGCCAACACTCTATCCACTGAGCCAAACCAGCTAGAGCCGTAATGGTGGATTTAAAATACAAGATACTTATTATGGCCAGGCATTTAGTTATACTAGTACATTTCTCATGCAATAATAACATTTTTAAAGAAAAGTGATGCAAACAGATATCATTCTAATATCCATTTTTATTCTTTAGAGAACCTAGGAAAAGATATGTCAATTAGGAATGAGTATAAAGTTTTTAGAAAAATAGATGGCAGGAGATAAAATAGTAGTATTAAAAATGAGTCCCTGTGAGAAGTTACTAATCTGTTAGGTATCACTGTGGTACTTCCGTGGGAGGCTTTTTTTAAAAAAGATAAGAACTTCCTTAAGGTTTCTGGATTATTGTGTAACTCTCCATTAATTTCTAGGTATCTGGTGACCCATCTCATGGGGGCAGATCTGAACAACATTGTGAAATGTCAGAAACTTACGGATGACCATGTTCAGTTCCTTATCTACCAGATTCTCCGAGGTCTCAAGGTACAGACAGCACTAGTAATACTTTTGAGACATGAGATTCTCTCCCTTCTTCTCTCTCTTCTATTTAGGACTTAAGGGAGTTAGGGGGAAAGAGACAAAAAAAAAACTTGTCTTGTGAAACATTTAGAACACTCCCAAATCACTAGTACAATTTTAGAATTATGAAGCCCTGTGTTACTCAATGACCACAATTACTAGCATATGGCCAATCTTGTTTCTCTTGTAGTCCCCAAGCCCTGGATTATTGTAAGGCAAGTCTAGACATCATCTCATTTCACCCATAGATACTTCAGAATGCATGTCTGAGAGTGGAGGACTCCTCATTATTACACCTAAACAGTAATAATAATTTCTTGATATAATCTAATATCTGGTCAGAGTCATGTTGAAACTTTAAAAAGATCTTTAAGGAGGCTAACTTATTTGTGAGGGGGCAGATAAACAGTGTTTAAAATTGAATCACTTTTGATATTTAGCTGCTTCGAATCTTCATTGAGCTATAGAGAACCAACTGGAAAATAGATTGCAAGAACTGTTTCACTCATTACTTCAGCTTTGAGTCGAGTTCATGGTGTGGAAATCATAGTTATGATAAATGCATAGACTACTAATAATTACTTGTTCTGATTTCTAATCTCATGGTTTATACTAGTAGTTCTTACTGTTTCCTGAAAATGTACTTCAAATAAGTCGTATAAGGTGGCAGTGGGAGGTTGGCAATGACTTATTTAACTGACTCTTTTCTATTTCACAGTATATACATTCAGCTGACATAATTCACAGGGTATGTCTTGTGTTTTTTATTAAATTATTTTGGGGAACTGGTGGCAGTGGGGGCTGGAGGGAGACTGTCATGTAGCCAGGATCATTGATTAACTGTAACTTTAAGTTTAAATTGATTTTTAAAAGATGTATAGTTTTTACCAATTTAAGGCTAATTAGGACTAGATAGTGACTACAGAATGGAAATTGTCTGTTTATGGCTGGGTGAAGTCTTAATTTTATGTTAGGATTTAAGCAGAGAATTCACCGTGCACCATAAAGCTGTTCCTGTCCTCTCTGCCCTTCCTCCTAGGACCTGAAGCCTAGTAATCTAGCTGTGAATGAGGACTGTGAGCTGAAGGTAAGGCGAAGAGGCGGTGGGAAATAGTTGTTTCACTTTGTAATTACGGGTTTGATAAACCAGGCACATTTATACAGGGAATGGTTGGTTATATAAGCCAAAACTTTTTATCTGGAAAGTCATTTTGTCCTCAAGAATATCAAACTTTGATATTTAAACCATAGATTTAGTAAGCTTTCATTTTTGTGTGTGTTTTTTTAATATATTTTTATTGATTTTAGAGAGGGAGAAAGATAGAAACATCAATGATAAGAATCATTGATTGGCTGCCTCCTGCACGCCCCACACCAGGGATTGAGCTAGCAACCCAGTATGTGCCTTAATTGGAAATCGAACTGCGACCTCCTGGTAAATAATTCGACGCTCAACCACAGAGCCACACCAGCCTGGCAGCTTCAGTTTTAAATGACATTGAAGGTGGCGTCGGGTATCTTGTTTTCATTCTAAAAGTTAAATTTGAAATTTAGTATATTAGTTATAATAAAGGAAAATTACAGTCTGAATATCAAGTAAGCAGTCCTGAAGAGATAATTATTAGATTAAATTGAAAAAATGGCAGAAGGCTTTTCATTCAAAATAGTTCAAATACGATAAATAAATTGTCTATAAAGAACAAGCAGCTCTGGAATTTTTTTGTTTCATTTCTTTTTTTTTAATATATTTTATTGATTTTTTTACAGAGAGGAAGGGAGAGGGATAGAGAGTTAGAAACATCAATGAGAGAGAAACATCGATCAGCCGCCTCCTGCACACTTCCCACTGGGGATGTGCCTGCAACCAAGGTACATGTCCTTGCCTGGAATCGAACCCAGGACCCTTGAGTCCACAGGCCAACGCTCTATCCACTGAGCCAAACCGGTTAGGGCCATTTCTTTTTTTAATATATATTTTTTAATTTTTCAATTAAAGTTGAATACAGTATTATATTAGTTTCAGGTTTCATTTCATCTTTTACTCAAATTTTTAAAACATAATTTACATACAGTAAAATGTATCCTTTTAAGTGTACATTTGACAAATTTATATATCCATGTAACCACCAACTCAGTTATGATAAAGAACATTTCTATCACCTCAGAAAGTTCTCTGTGCCCCTTCCTAGCCGATCCTCAACCCTCTGCTCCTAATCCTGGCCACAGACAACGGCCGATCTGCTTTCTGGCACTACAGGAAGATTTATCTTTTCTGGAGCTTCATGCAAATAGAATCATACAGTATTTGTGTGTGTGTGTGTGTCTCATTTTTGCTTAGTATAATATTTTTGAGATTAATTTGTAGTGCGTGTTTCAATAGTTCATTCCTTTTTTTTTTTTTATCACTAAGTAGTATCCATCTTATGAATATACCACAATTTGTTTATCCATCCATCAGTGGACATTTGTTTTAGTTCTAGTTTGGGGCTATGTAAAGCTGCTATGAACATTCATGTGTTAGCTTTTGTGTGAACGTTTCTTTTCATTGCTCTTGGGTAAATACCTAGCAGTGGTATTCTCATTTTGCTTTTTGTAATTTCATTGTTCAAAGTACTTGCTGTGTTTCTCATGCATTCAAAATATAGACTGGGATATATGTTTATGAAAGTACTATTTTGTTCTCCCTTTATATAGGAATTTTTTCATTTTGCTTTACAAGTCTTAGGAGGTTGACTCTTTCAGCACCTGATTTCTCTTCTTTCCCTTAGATCTTGGATTTCGGCCTGGCTCGACACACAGATGATGAAATGACAGGCTATGTGGCCACCAGGTGGTACAGGGCTCCTGAGATCATGCTAAACTGGATGCATTACAACCAGACAGGTATTGCTTACATTGGTTATTTAAGGCCTATTAATGCCATCTTGGGTTTATTTGGGATTCTCAGAAGTAGAGATAGTGGGAATAGGAGGAAACATCTTTTCTTCCCTCAGTGATCCTTTTAAAGACCACAAATAGGAAATATTTCAGTAGCTCAGATAAAGTGGGATTTTTAATACACAGTTTTCAAATCTTGTGATTTAGCAATTGAGTTTTTATTTATTTAGATTTTCAGCTTATTCTCTGAGTATTTCTACCTGAAGACAATGGTTAGTAATCTTAGCCTCTCAATATTGGGAGAATCTACGATTTCTACCAAGAAGAAACTTTTACTCCTTTGTACACAGCTTATTTCTCTTGCCGTAATTATGTCTGGCCTTATCCTAGCTATGAAGCCCTTTACTGGGGTGCAGGTCTTAATAAACTTACTTATTTCTGTAAAAAGGAATATGATTGTTTAAACCAGATGCCGTAAATATTCGTGTGTTTTGCCCTTAGTTACAGTTTCATTGGGAGCCAAGTATGATAATAGTGACATTGTATACACTGTTACTTCTCTTTAACTTTCCAGTTGACATTTGGTCGGTGGGATGCATAATGGCCGAGCTGCTGACTGGAAGAACATTGTTTCCTGGTACAGACCGTATCCTTTGAAAGTTTGGGTTCTTGTTTTTTAATTGTATCCCAGTGTCTGTGGGAGTATATGGCTTTTACCTGTCTCTAGGGAAGGTTCTCAGATACTTGCTTTTATAGTCCAGATATGCACATGAGATCTGCCCCTTGGCAAGAAGAGGCTTCGGTTTACTTTTGTGAGTTGGAAAAATTCCTCGTCAGCTGGAAAACCCTTTAAAGCTTTCATATGTCATCATTTTGCAGTGAGTTTAAGATTATATTCATATTCAGCGACCTGAGGGTATTAGTCTGCTTGTACAAACACAAATACCCAATTTATAAATCAGGGGTGTCTCTTTATGTTTGGTTTACATATTAAAAAGGCTATCCCCTTTTTTTTGGTCTCTGTAATGATATACCTACTTGTTATGTTTGTTTAACAACAAATAATAACAGAAGAAGTAGTAAGGTCACCCTGTTGTGGGCCTTTTTTTTTTTCAACACAACTTAATTTTTAGCCCAGATAGTAGTCAAACCTTAATTCACTTCCAGACTTACTGTCTAGTTTGTGATTTATCATGGTCTCTTTATTTTAGCCCTTTCCTGTCTGCTGCATGCCTGCTTCACGGTTTAGTATTAGCATCAAAATGTGCTTTGTTGGAACTCCCATTGGTTCCACGGGGTGAAGATGTTTGTGAGAAAGAATGTTGAAATAATATTTTTAGAAATTAGCGTGGAAGATGTTTGTAAACTTCATGGGACTAGCCTTCGGGGGGTTAGGTGGCCTCCAGAGGCGTGCATTCACCGGCTTCAGTCACCTGTGACCTGGAAGCAGTTTGTCCCCTCGCCTGTGCCAACTGTGGTTTATAAACCAGAGTGTCAGTTTACTTGCGTAGAGTTGGGATATGCTTCTGTGGTGACCGGTGTTCATGTTATCTGTCCACATGTCCTAACTGTCTCCTTCCAGAGGACATGTGCTTTCCTGGTGACCCTCGGGGAAGCTGTATTTCCTGGGTCTCACTGGATCCATAGGGCTCAGCCTCCTTCACTTCAGTTCACTTATGGCTCCTCATCTCCAGATTTGAAGTTAGTTTAATACCCATGTTTCTCCTTTGTCTGTGCTTCATTCACCTCGTATCTGTTTCTTAGAAATTTGGGATCAACATTACAGCCCGAGCTTATTGGGGAAAATTTGGTTTTCTCCTTTTCCTCAGGTACACAGCTCAGAGTCCCGCCCTGAAGTCTGTCCTCCAAGCACAGTGCTCTAATGCTGTCCTCTGCTCACCTCTCCCCTTCGTCCCCTCTCTCTGTCTCTCCATCTACCTTCAGGAGACACTGGCAGCTGCACGCACACCGGCAGGGGAGAGAGCACTGTTCTGGAGTCAGACTTCTGGGTTTCCCTGGGAGCTCTTTTACTCCAGCTTTGTGACTTTGGGCCGTTGCCCTTTTTCTGTCTCTCGGGTTCCTGAACTATAAAATGCTGGTAATAGTACGTACCAGCACCTCACATGGTGCTAACTGCTTAGCACAGAGCCGGCCAGAAAACGTTAGCCATTTTCTTCATTAATGATCATTGGGAAACAGTTTCTCCCTTCATCTTTGCACTCTGTTGTCTACCTATGAATCACTAACACAAGACTTTTTGCTTTATTTAAATTTATGGCAGGTAGTAAAGGATGGATCCGCTTGGCAGGCTGCTAGTAGAAAGGTTTCTAAGTAGTTGTGGCCTGTGGCTCACCTCGGAGACGCTGCCTACTCCCTGATGCTCGGCCCTTTTAGAATGCTGACTTGCAGCTTCTAAGACTCCTTCCCTTGTGTGCATACTTCTTTCCTCCTCTGAACTTTAGACAGAAAACCTAGCATTCAAACTCTTTACTAGGTGAGTCTTTTTTTAATACATGTGAATTTATTTCACAATTCTTATTTTAGTAATGCACTGTTTTCTACTTGGCTCTTTTTGAGGCAGATCAAATTCAGAAGATTTGTATTTGTAACATATATCACTCCCTTCTTGTCAGTTGCATCTCTGTGGATGTAGCTTTGGTTGCCTGACAAGGAGAGAGGGAAGTGTTTTCTGTTATTTTTTCTTGCATGAAGTGTACGGTCGCTTCTGTTCTAGCACAGTGGTTCTTAGCTCCCCTTGTGAATACTTTGGGGAGCTGTACAAACCTCCCGACGCCTGGGCACCCTGCAGACTCCACTTCGTTGGTGTGGTGAGTGCCCAGGCCTTGCAAGAGTGAAGTCCCGCTTGATTCTTGCGTGCAGCTAGTGTTGAGTACGTCTTGCATTTGGAACTGGTGGTTTTAGCTTTAGATAAGAACTAAGTATTACTGTGGTTTTGCAAATGTTTTGTATCTTCTTTTCCAGTGTGGTGATTGGTAGCCACCAGCCACATCTGGCTAGTGAGCGCTTAAAACATGACTAGTGTGACTGAGGACCTAAATTAAAAATATATTTGTAGGAAAATGTATTAACATAAAAATTTACCAATTACACTTTTTTGTGGTAAAAATAAGCATAACATAAAATTTACTATCATGACCATTTTTAAGTATGCAATGCAGTGGTGCTAATTACATTCACAAAGTTATGTAACTATCACCACTCTCTAGTTCAGGGGTCCTCAAACTTTTTAAACAGGGGGCCAGTTCACTGTCCCTCAGACCGTTGGAGGGCCGGACTATAGTATAAAAAAAAAAAAACTATGAACAAATTCCTATGCACACTGCACATGTCTTATTTTGAAGTAAAAAAACCAAAATGGGAACAAATACAATATTTGTATTTGAATGTGGCCCGCAGGCCGTAGCTTGAGGACCCCTATTCCTATGCACACTGCACATATCTTATTTTGAAGTAAAAAAACAAAACGGGAACAAATACAATATTTGTATTTGCATGTGGCCCGCGGGCCGTAGTTTGAGGACTCCTGCTCTAGTTCCAGAACACATCATCACACCAAACAGAAACTCTGTACCCATTCCTCCCTCTCGCAGCCTTTGGTTACCTCACTTCTAGTTTCCGTCTCTATGAATTTGCTTATTCTAGGTATTTCATTAAGTGGAATCCTCACTGTATCTGTCCTTTTGTGTTTGGATTATTTCACTTGGCATGTTTTCAAGTTTCATCCAGTTCTAGACTGTATAGAAATTTGTTCCATTTTATGGCTGAATACTAGTCCATTATATGTATATTAGAGGCTCAGTGCACAGATTCATGCACCGGTGGGGTCTCTTGACCTAGCTTGCAGGGATCGGGCCGAAACTGGCTCTCTGACATCCCTCGAGGGGTCCCGGATTGTGAGAGGGTGTAGGCCAGGCTGAGGGGGACCCCACCAGTGCATAATCGGGGCCGGGGAGGGATCGAAGGAAGGTTCTAAGGTGTGTCCGGCCCTTCTCACCCAGACCTGATCAGGGCCAGCTGGCTGGGGAGGGACCATGGGAGGTTGGCCAGCCAGGGAGGGACCGCAGAAGGGCTCCTGGGCGTGTCCGGCCTATCTCAATCCCAAATCCAATTGGTCGGACCCCAGCAGCAAGCTAACCTACCGGTTGGAGATATCTACCCCTTGGTGGTCAGTGCACATCATAGCGACTGGTCGAACGAATGGTTGGACACTTAGAATATTAGGCTTTTATTATATAGGAGACCACATTTTGTTTAATCCGTTCATCTGTTCATAGGCACAGGTGGTTTCTACCCTTTCAGCTATTGTGAGTGGTACTGCAGTGAACATTGGTGTGCGAGTACCTGTTTGAGTCCCCACTTCTAATTCTTTTGGGTATATACCTAGGAATGGACTTGTTGGGTCATATGGTAATTCTGTGTTTAGTTTTTTTAGGAACTGCCAAACTGTTTTCCACAGCAACTGCACTATTTTATAGCCCACCAGTGATGTATGAACAATTTCTCCACATCTTATCTTCACCAGTACTCAATTATATCATTTTCCTTCTCTCTCTCTCTCTCTCTCTCTCTCTCTTTCTCCCTCCATTCCTTACTAGTATAGTCATCCCAGTAGGTATGAAGTGTTATCTGTATGTGATTTTGATTTGCATTTCCCTAATGACTAATAATGTTGAGTAGTTTCTCCTGTGTTAACTGTCCATTTGTGTGTATATATATCTTTTTTTTAAATATATTTTATTGATTTTTTACAGAGAGGAAGGGAGAGGGATAGAGAGTAAGAAACATCGATGAGAGAGAAACATCAATCAGCTGCCTCCTGCACACCCCCTACTGGGGACATGCCCGCAACCAAGGTACATGCCCTTGACTGGAATCGAACCTGGGACCTTTCAGTCCGCAGGCTGACGCTCTATCCACTGAGCCAAACCGGTATATATATCTTTTTTGAGAAATATACTAGTATATCAAATCCTTTACCCATTTTTTAATTGGGTTGTCTTTTTGATGTTGAATTTTAGGAGTTCTTTATATATTCTGAATAGTAAACTTTCATTAGATATATGATTTACTAATATTTTCTCCCATTCTGTGGACTGTCTGTTCAGTTTATTTATTTTTAATCCTCACCTGAGGATCTGTTTGTTGATTTTGGGAGAGAGAGAGACAGAGAGGGAGAGAGAGAAACATCAGATCTATCAGTTGCCTCCCATATTCACCCCAACCAGGGATCAAACCCACAACCTTTTGGTGCATGGGGATGACGCTGCAGCCAACTGAGCCACACCAGCCAGGGCTATTCACTTTCTCAATATTGTCCTTTGATGCAGAGAAATTTTCATTTTGATAAAGCTACAATTTATCTATTTTTTTTCTTTTGTTGCTCATGTTTTTGGTGCCATCTTTTATGACCAGATTTAAGGTCATGAATATTTACTATTTTCTACGAAGAGTTTTATGGGTTTATCTGTTATACTTGGATCTTGGATCCATCTTGAGTTAATTTTCTATATGACGTGAGGTTAGGGGTCCAATTTTTTCTTTTGCAAGTGGAAATTCAGTTGTTCCCAGCACCATTTGTTGAAGAGACTATCCTTTCCCCCATTGAATGGGCTTGGCATGCCTGTC